ATTTTGCTACCTTTCAGCTTGGGTATCCCGAACCAGTATGCATTTGCATTTGCCCTTCTTCCTCTCAGCACATCCTGTGTCATATCCAGCATCCTTGCTTGTTGTGATGACTATTTGAATTCTGAGACATATTTTATTTATTTTGTTCTACTTACTTTGGTGGTACTCAGAATTAAGCTCAGGGCCTTTCACTTACCAGGCAGGCAGTCTGTCACTTAAGCCATGTACTCCTAACACTTTCTTGCTTTTTTAAACCTTCAGCTTCATTGGATCACCAGGTCCAGCTTATTGGTTGAGATGAACATCCTGGCTGTCCTGGAACTGTGATTTCAGACAAGAGCCACTGTACCTAACCTATTTTGTTTTTTTGAGATAGGAAATGCTGGCCTAGAACTTGGAATCTCTCTGCCTCAGTCTCCCTAGTGCTGAGAGTATAGGCATGTAACACCACAGCCAGCTAAATAGGTATTTTTGACAATGTCAAAATAATAACTTAATAATACAGTAATATGTTTACATTAATAAATACAAAATAATACACTAAAGCCAAGTTACATATAATAAATTCTTTTTCTTTATGTGCCCTTTTAAAACTTTTTGAGTCTGTTTGTGTTTTTGAAAGTACTGTTTTTTCTTCCATTTAAAATACAAATGTAACAAGGCATTGAAAAAAATAGATAAAAATTTTCATTAAGGATTTCTAAATAGTTGGATACCCATTTAAAATTCTGTATGAAATATTTGATCTTTTGAGAGAAGTTTAAAAAGTTTCTTACAATCTGATTCATTTATTTTCTGCCCCTCCTAGTATTTCAACAGGATTAAGTTTTTGAATCAGTGGATCGTTTTAATTTTCCTTTTCCTTCCTTATACTGACATATGCTTTGGCAGAACAAAAAAGAGACCTAAACATGTCAGCATGATTTTTGTTCAGTGAATTAAAAACCATAAAAGTAACAAGATCTGATCCAAATCCCTAAACTCCTGACATGGTGGTTTTGTCCTTTTCAGTCCTAAGATTCATATTACTGACTTTGAAAAGCTTTCTGCCTGGAAGCAGAAGTGCATGATTTATTTGAAATAGGTTACAACATGGAGGAGTAGAAAGAATGGAGTCTAGCATGATTTGGATTTGAATTCCAGTGCTGTCACACAGGCATACACACAATTCAGAACCTCAGTTTCCTCAGTGGAAAATGAGGGTCTACTTTGAAGAGTTTGTGTGAGGATGACTGAGTACTCAACATGGCGTAGAGGGGTTTTAATAATAATAGTAATGAGAACCAGTTTTATTTGGAGAACATTTTCTAGTAATTGAATTCGGAAGAAGTTATTTATAAAACAGCTGTCCACTTTGTCTTCAGAGCTTTTTCTTCCTCAAAATTCTTGTTTACTTATTTTTGTTATCAGAAAAAATGTCAGGTAAATGCCTCCTAATGTTCAGCAGCTGATCATGGACTGGGAACTTGGGATTGTCCTTACTCAACAAGAACCATGTTGACTTAAGGTCAGGAAACATGCCAGTGGTGACAATTTTAGGGTAGAGAAATTTTGTTGTACTACAACCAGTGACTTTTGAGATAGGACTTCCTTAGCTTTGACTGAATGTGACTTCCCTCCTAGCATTTGAACACAGGTCCTTGCTGAGTTCAAACTCTGGGTTCACTTGAACCACACTTTCAAGCTGACTTTTTGCTGATTATTATAAAGACTTTTTTCCTGAGCAGGCTTTAAACTGTGATCCTCGAGATCTTAACCTTATGAATAGCTAGGATGATAGCTACTGGGGTTTGGCCTACGTATGAGTTTGAATAAGATACCAAACTTCTTGGGCTCCATTTTATTCACCAATATAATGGGAGCCTTTTCAGTAAGTGGTGCTGGCAAAATTGGTTAAACACTTGTAGAAAACTAAAGTTAGATCCGTATATATCATCCTGCACCAGAATAAACTCCAAATGGATCAAAGACCTCGAAATAAAAGCAGACACCCTAAAACATTACAGGAAGGAATAGAAGAAACTCTAGGGTTCCTTGGCACAGGCTGAAATTTTCTTAGTAGAGACCCAGAAACACAACAAATCAAAGAAAGGTTGTACAAATGGGATTGCATAAAACTGCAGAGATTCTGCAAGGTAAAGGACATTGCTAGCAAGATCAGCAGAAAACCCATGGACTGGGAGTAGATCTTCACTAGTCATACAATGGACAAGGGTCTCATCTAAAATATACTTAGAACTCAACAAACTAAATCCCCCAACAACAGATCCTCAAACAACTGCCTGATTAATAAATGGGCTAACGACTTAAGAGAAACTTCTCTGAAGAGGAATGGCCAATAGACATATGAAGAAATGCTCAACTTCTCTAGTCATAAAAGAAATGCAAATCAAGACAGTGTTGAGATTCCACCTCAGCCCAGTTAGAATGGCTATAATCAAGAAATCTAGTAATAACAGATGCTGGAGGGGATGTGGCTAGAAGGGAACCCTACTGCATTGTTGGTGGGAGTGTAAAACTTGTTCAGCTACTTTGGAAAGCAGTATAGAAGTTCCTCAAAAGACTCCACATAGAGCTTCCCTATGACCCAGCAATCCCACTTTTGGGCTTTTACCCAAACGATCACAAACAAGGTCATACCAAAGCTACCAGCACAACATGTTAATTGCAGCATTATTTACCTTAGCTAAGATATGGAACCAGCCCCAATGCCCCTCGGTAGATGAATGGGTCAAGATAATGTGGTATATATATATATATATATATATATATATATATATATATATATATATATACAATGGAATTCTATGCCTCTGTCAGCAAGAATGACATTGCCTCATTTGTTAGGAAATGGAAAGATTTCGAAAAAATTTTATTAAGTGAAGTAAGCCAGTCCCAAAGAAACATAGGTCCCATGGTTTCCCTTGTTTGCAATGACTAGTACATTTCTAGGACAAGCAGTGAAGGTCAAAGGCTATGTACATATGACCACATGAGATAATGTTAAGCAAAATGTACCCCACGACAGGGGCACAAGTGGTTTTTTCTTTCTTGCTAGTGTTTTTAATGTACTTACAAAGCACTACGTGATTCTTTTGTTTCTTTGGTATGTTATTCCCCCACAGTATAACCCCTGTTTTCACTGGATTTGATGCTGGTGCTCTGCATCTTGTATGTACATTTTTGTAATTTGGGGAGGGGAAGGGATATTGTGGAACACTTAAATGAGGATGCAGGTTGACCCATTGTGAGACGAGATGTACAGGACACTATGTTGAAAAGGAACTTTATAATGTTGGGGTGGCGGCAGCGGGAGGAGTTGGGGAGGTGGGGAGGGAGGTGATGGTGGGGGAAAACAAAGGAGGAGGTAACAATGCTCACTGCGAAATGTACTCATTACCCTACTATGTAACTGTAACCCCTCTGTACAACATTTTTACAATAAATATATGTTTATATTTAAAAAAAGTTTTTTGAAAAAAAAAGATCTTCCAGGATATGACTTTTCAGCCTTTCTCTTGTGACTCATTTTTAAAAAGATTTTAAAAATTAGCATACATTAGTTGTACAGGGACGATTTCACTGTGACATTTCCATACACGAATACAATTTTCCCATCAGCTTCCTTCCCTTTATCACTCTCTTATCCCTTTCTCTCTTCTTTTTAAAATAATTTCTATTTTCATATGTGCATATAAAGTACTTCAACCTTGTCACTCATTTTTTGGTTATCTGTGCTCCCATCTGCAAATGAAATATGTCTTCTTTTACCTCATAAAGCCTTTATAAATGCTCTTTTCTCCTGGAAATCTTCTTTCCCCTGCTAGTACAGACAACTTAGACTGATTCTCCAAGTCTAGAGAGAACAGTTGTTTATTTCTTGCTCTTGCTGCCTGTTAGATCATGTTGATCACATCATTACCCTTGGTCTCAAGCTGATGGAAGCTTCATCTCCATAAGTTCAGTGGCCAGGGGAAAGGAAGTGAGGCGAGATAACATGTATCACTTCTGCTCACTTCTCATTGGTGAATGCAAACTGTACAGGCTAAATCAGAAGAGGGGCGACATATTCCTACTATGTGTCAGAGGATGAGAACAAGAATACTGGTGAACAGCAGTGAATACTAGTAGCTAGACACCATTTCTCTGGGGAAATCTTCCTTCACTGCCCTCTTCCTAAACTTGGGCAGCTCCTGCTGAGTGAGCTGAGCTGCTTTTCCTAAGGCACCTGGTCCTTCCCCATTTGTCTTACTGTAGTATTTATCAGTGTTAGTAGATGCCTCTTGTCTCTCTCCCTAACTAAGCTCTTGGAGAGCAGGTCATAGGTCCATCACTTTCATCCTAGCTTGCTCAGAGCCCAACTTTGGTTTTGGTAGAGAATGAGTAGCACTCAGTTTGTACAAGATCTAGCAAGGAAGGCAGGAAAAAATGTGCTGAGCTGCTTTGCTAGATTGTCGTGAAGATCAAATAAATGTAAAATAATAACCTTTGTCAAAAGTGCCAGTCCTAATGCTTTGTTGTTAGCCTCTGTTTGTTCATATCAGGGAAAAACTAGTAGTAAAAATAGTCATTAACTTATTATAGTATAATGGATTTCATTTTTATACTTCAAACATACATACAATGTACTTCAGTACCCCATTGCCTTCTCTTGTTCCCTATCTCTTTCTTCCTGGATCCTTCAGATATCCCCATTTGCATATTTATGTCTTTTTGTTGGTTGGCTTGTTGGCTTGTTTTTAAGTCTATATTCTACTTATGAAAGAAACATGATATACTTGTCTTTCTGCCTCGGCTTATACTATAAAGTGGTACTTCTACTGGCTTTTCTTTGCTAACTCACCAGGAACTGTGAAGATCATCATCTGACAAGTAAAGTTACAGAGTATTGAGCTGGTAGAAAAAATGGTATTAAATTCTTGGCTGGAGGTTAATGTATAGAATGATTTTGCTGGAAGGTTGTAGTTTTATTGTTTATTTGTTTGTTTCTCTTTTATCAGAGTAACCAGGGAACACAGGGAAATGCTGGTGAAACTGGCCAAACAGAACACCAACAAGGCCAAAGACTCTTTACGGAGAGTACGTAGCAATGCAATTAATAAGCTGAAGAAATCAAAGGACAAGACCTCAGAGGATACCATTAGGCTCATAGAGAAGCAGGTACTGTTACCAACAGATGTAGTGTTTATGTGCCTGACCTAAAGAATTACTTGTTGGGGCTGGGAAGGTGGCTCAGTGGTAGAGTGCTTGCCTTCCATGCATGAGGCCCTGGATTCAATTCCTTAACACTACATAAGCAGAAAAAGCTGGAAGTGGCACTGTGGCTCAAATGGTAGAGTGCTAGCCTTGAGCTGAAGAACTGAGGAACAGAGCTCAGGCCCAGAGTTCAGGCCCCACAACCGACCCCCCGCCCCCCAAAAAAGAGAATTATTTGTTCAGATAAATCAGAAGCCTCTGGTCCTTACATTCACGGGGTCAACATTTAGTAAATCTGTTCTGAATGTAGCCCTGTGCCAGATCCCAAAGGACTCATGGAAGAAGACATGATGCTAGAGCTTTTCCTTTGCACCAGCTCCGTGCTGAATCCTTTGTCCTCATCACTACAAAACTCTGAGATAGGGGTTAGGGTTGTAGCTCAGTGCCCAGTGGCAGAATACTTTCATAGTATGCAGTAGGTCCTGGGTTCAATCCCCAGCATCAAAACGACAAGGTAGTGAGACAGGTTCAGTAACATGCCCAAGTCACACTATTTGGTAAGTGGTAGAGATGGGATCTAGACACAGAGCAACACATTTCAGAGCCCACTCGCTGACACTCTCTTGTCTGGTTCTCTGGTTGCTGAGAAGTGAGCACTTATGATCTCAGTGTGCTGAGTGGTGGCACTTGAGTCCTAGAGGAATTCCTGGAATAATATGGAGAAAAGAGGAAGAATGGTAGGATAGCATGTGCATGGTATGGTGGTCGAGAATCACATTATGCATCTAGGTCATTGGGGCCCAAGCCTTGGAGGAGGCTACAGAATGAACAGAGAAGGCAGTGAGCACATCACAGAAGGTCTTTTATACCAAACTTGGGAATTTAACTTTATGTCCAGAAGTTTTCATGTCATCTGGGCATCTGCCTCAGTAACCTGTTGGTTACAATAATGTCGTGTAGGAGCTACTCCAGAACTTGGTGATTTACAATATCAAAGCATTATTTTTTTTTATTGTGAAAATACTGTACAGAGGGATTACAATTACATGGGCAAGATAATGAGTGCGTTTCTTATCAGGCATTGTAGCCTCCTCTTTTGTTTCCCCTTTCCATCCATTCCCATCCTCCCCCGCCCCCCCCACCCAATCCTTCCCCCCCCCCACCGAAGTTGTAAAGTTTGTTTTCAACATAACGATTTGTACATCTCATTGTTGCAATGGGTCCACCTGTATCCCTAGTTAAACGATTTGTTTTTCCCCTTCCCCTCTACAAATTATACCGACGTCAAATACAGTGAAAGCAGGGGTTATACTGTGGGGGAGGGACATACAAAGCAACAAAGAAATCATCTTATAAATGTGTTAGAAACAATCACATGAAAGAAAAAAAAAACATTTGAATACATATCTTAGGGTTCATTTCCCTAACATCACCTTATCTGACCTTTTCTGCTTTACTCAGAAACACACTAGTTACTGCAAATAAGGGAAACCATGGGACCTATGTTTCTTTGGGCCTGGCTTACTTCACTTAATATAATTTTTTCCAAGCCTTTCTATTTCCTAACAAATGGGGCAATGTCATTCTTTCTGATGGAGGCATAGAATTCCATTGTGTATATATACCACATTTTCTTGATCCATTCATCTACTGAGGGGCATATGGGTTGGTTCCATATCTTAGCTATAGTAAATAATCAAAGCATTATTTTTTGTTCACATTTCTATGGGCCACATTCTATTGGAACATGTATATTTTGAAAGCTCCCCAGATAATTCTGCAAAAGCTTGTGGAAGGTAGCTGTCCTAGACTAGCCTCTCAGTTGGCTTCAAATCTTGGATTGGGCTCGTCTGCTTTATATAGCTCCAGTCTTCAAGAGTTAACAAGTGTCCTGTGGCATCATTCCTCAGCAGCAGCAAATGCCCAAGAATACACATTCAGCCACTGAAGCACATCTTAAGCACTGCTCCTGGCAAAGCCCAATGATCAAAAGCAAGCCACGTGAGCCAAACCCACTCTTTTTCTAACAGGGAAGTATGGATGTTCATGACAGTCTAAGGGAACAGCACCTTATAAAACTGCAGGCATCTGATGCCTTATTCTGAGATTAAGTTAGTGAATCTGGAGTGGGGCCCAAGAGTTTTTAAACTTCAAGAAGACTTTTGTACAGTAACTGTCTTGAAAAATTTCTTTGGTAGGGAGATCACATCTGTGTTTATGAGACATGACTATTGTGGCCAGGTAGATAACATTGTGAGAGATGAAACAGGAGGCAAGGAGACAATTGCAGAAATCCAGACAGGAATTAATGATGACCTGAGCCTGAGCAGTATCACTGGTAAGTGAGCGGGGAGGTGAATTTACCAGTATTTGGAGGTAGATTAGTAATGTTAATAATATTTAATGTCATGTGAAGGGCTTGAGAGGCTCTGAAACCTGCAATGAAAATGTCATGTAGGAAGGATGAATAGAAATGTGGACAGGATGGAAGTAAAAAAGGAAGAAGCTTGAGTACAAGTTTGGGGACTCCTTAGGAGTCCACAAAGTGACTTACAGCTTTCCTTCTGGACCAGCAGTTAGCACTAGTTATTGGAGGGCCAGCCAAAACAGTCGCCTGGAACGAATTTTAGATGGATTCCAGAGCTTTGCCCCCTGTGTTTTCTGATTCTGTATATCTCCCTAGCAATGTTTATTGTTGTATGTTTGTTTGCTGGCTCTGGACTTGAATTCAGGGCCTGGGTGCTGTCCCTGAGCATTTTCAGCTTGAGGCTAGTATTCTACCATTTGAGCCACAAATCTGCTTTTGATTCCCCCCCCCCCCCCACTTTTTTGGTGATTAATTGGTGATAAGACTATCACAAACTTTCCTCCCAGGGCTGGCTTTGAACTGCAATCCTCAGACCTCAGCCCCCTGAGTAACTAGGATTTAGGAATGAGCCACCGGTGCCTGGCTTACAATGTATATTTTTAAGAAGCTCCCCAGATAATTCTGTAAAAGCACATGTGAAGGTAAGGACCTAAGAAACTCCTTAATACGAAGAAAGGAAGGGGAGGAAAAAGAAAAGAAAAGAATATTTTTATACTTCATGAAGTTGCTTGACTCCTTAAGTTTCATTTTGTTTTGCTGTATTAAAAAGTGGGTGGAGGTGTGGCTAGAATGGTATAGTACTTTGCCTAGTAAACTTGAGGCCCTGTATTCAAACCCTAGTACTGCCTCCCCCCCCCAAAAAAAAATTGGTAATTTACCTTGAAGAGATTGCCTGGCTGCTAGAAAGCACTATGAGATCACGTGACACCTAATGCTCAAAGCTCACCTCTTGCAATTGTTCTGCCCTCCTTTTCTCTGCATTAGCTCAAAAAGGACATTCAGATTGGGCTGGTTGCTTCTGAGCCATGATCAGATCTCAAATAGACTTTACCCTAGCCTCGACCCCAGCTGTGCCAGCTCCTTGTCCCTCTCCTTGGACATTGTGTCTCTGACTCTTAGACTTTACATTGCTTCCTTATAGTAAGCCTGCAGACCTCCGGGCCTGCTCAGGCATTTCTCACTTGGCTGACAATCTTGGGATGTAGAGCCCAAGCTCCTTGCAAAAGAAAAAATGATCAAATAACCAGATTTCCATAAAACCCATGTAACAGACCTCCCTAAAAGCTTTCACCTATTAGTCTTGGACACTAAAGTATCACCAATCTATTAAGATTAGACATTTTTTTCCCTTCTTTTGTGTGTGTGTGTTTGGTTGGTTGGTCATGGGGCTTGAATTCAGGGCTTGGGCACTGTCTCTGAGCCTCTTTGTGCTCAGGGTTAGTGCTCTACCAGTTGAGCCACAGTGCTACTTACAGTTTTTGAGTGGTTAATTGAAGATAAGAGTCTCACGAGGACTTAGTTCTGTCCAGGCTGGCTTCAGATTGCGATCCTCAGATCTCAGCCTCCTGAATAGCTAGGATTACAGGTGTGAGCCACTGGTGCCTGGGCTTCTAGAGCTTCTTAGTGGTGTGTATGTGTGTGTGTGTTTGTGTGTGTGTACACGTACTGGTCCTGGGCTTCTAGGGCTTCTTAGTGGTGTGTGTGTGTGTGTGTGTGTGTGTGTGCTTCTTAGTGGTGTGTGTGTGTGTGTGTGTGTGTGTGTGTGTGTGTGTGTGTGTGTGTGTGTGTGTGTGTGTGTGTGTGTGTGTGTGTGTGTACGTACTGGTCCTGGGGCTAGCACTCTGCCACTTGAGCAGCTCTATGTCTGGCTTTTTGGTGGTTGATTGGAGATAAGAGTCTTGTACTGGGCTGACTTTGGACTGCAATGCTTAGATCTCAGTTTCCTGAGTAACTAGGATTACAGGTATGAGCCACTGGTGCCTAGCTGTTCGTTTGTTTTCAAAACAAAAAATAGCTTTATTTTTCAGATACTACACTAATACCTATTATTTCTTAAGAGAATGAAGAAAGTCATTGAAATCTCATCAGTTAGAGATGACTGTTAATGCGCGTGCGTGCGTGCGTGCGTGTGTGCGTGTGTGCGTGTGTGCGTGTGTGCGTGTGTGTGTGTGTGTGTGTGTGTGTATGTCATTGTTAACAGGTGTTCTACCATTTGAGCATGTCTTCCATCCTTTGTATGCTTCCCATATAGCTGAGCTGATAGGCAGTGTCACCAGGCCCAGTTTTTTTGTTGAGAATTACAAGTTTACAGGCTCCAGCCACTGTTACCTGGCCATTTGTTAGTATTTCCTTCAGGCTATCTCTCTGAGTGGATCTATGATACTTATATTGCACAACTTTTCACTATCAGAGTCTTTGCTCAAAGACACATTTAAATGTTAATTCTTAGCTTATAGTTGCTAACTTCATTTACAGACGTGTAGTAAAAAGTTGGGGTAGGAAAATGTTTAGGACAAAGTCTTGTGTGCACTTTGTTTTGTTCTCTCTGTTAATCAGAAAACATCAGCCAAATGTTTGGTGTGAGTTGTTTATTTTA